TATTAAGCCTCTGTACGGTGGATGCCACAGGAGGGCAAGTCAGCACGGTTGTTAGTGCAAAGCTATTCCAGCCTCGTACTAGGCTTGGGGCTTGGCAGTATGCTGCAGGAGTGAACTACGCTGCCCAGTTAAATGCCCAAAAGCCTTCTTTGCTGCCCTAATGGGTTCTGCTCTTGGGCCATGCTTGTTGCCACATCCTAGCCTGGAGGCAAAGACAATTCAGCAGAGGCAAGGGCCAGGGGAAAAGAAGGAAACTAGCCAGTAAGGCTCAGGGAAAAAAAAAAAAATTGGCCCCAAAATGTGATTTGATTTCACTGCTTTTTCTTTTTATAAATTACCCACAAGGATATTGCCAGATTCTTTAGAGCATTTATTAGCCAACATTCTTGTGAAGTATTTTGAGAGAAAACCATGTGTTTGTCAGCTTATATGTGAAGAAGCTTGAAAAATGCTCTAAATTTGGAACATGCTTTGTATTAGAGAGTCGCAGAAATGACAGTGTAGCAGTCAGGCTTTCTAAGCAGGTAATGAATAAAGGTAACTGCGTAAATCTTGATTGTAGATTCATTATAAGCTTGAGATGGGCTTCAGAATACGCGCTTGATGGGTGTTCCCGCCAAGGAAGGTATTCTAAGGTAAAACATCTTTTATCTTGCTAGCTTCTTTGCACAGTACTCCTGTAGGGTGAAATGCAGTCTTGCTCAGGGTCCGAACAAGGCTCATCCGGGCTGTAAAAAATGTATGGATCATCAGTGTGCAACACTGTTGCAATGAGGTGAAATTCATCTAGAAAATTAGAGCAAAGTGATGACAAAAGAAAAATTGTTCACAGATTTCCTTTTCGGGGTTTTCACTCTGATGCTGCTGGAGAGAGAGACTTCATAGTGCTCTGAGAATTGGGAACATGAAAAGTCTACAAGGAAGAACTCTACAGGTTCTCTATAAAACTCTATAGGACCAAAAATGATATTTCGTGGTTTCTGGCTGCCTTCTTTGGTCTGAAACTTCCTAGTCTAGAAATCTTGCTCTTGCAGAAACATCAGTTAAAATATCCGTGCCTTGCTCTGTGCTCAGTGTTTGTAAGGTGTAACAAATGGCTTTTAAAGGTAGTTAATTCAGACTAACAGAAAAGCAGGGGCGAAACTAGTTCAGCTTACAAAAGAAGCCTGGAGTGAAACTAGTTCAGCTTACAAAAGAAGCCTGGAGTGAGGAGCAAGGAGGCACGTGGCTGTTGTGCTCTAGTCCTGCCGGTTAGATTCAATAGTCTTTTTAATTGGAGTATTTAAGAAGAATGATATTTTTCTGCTTTGCTATAGCCTCTATTTCCCTCTGAAAGAGAGAGCTAGAAGCACAAGGGGAACGAAGATTAACCCTTGGCATGCTAGTATCTTTTAGTTTTTAACCAAACTGAAGGGTATGTGGGCACGTGTCTGTCATCAGCAGTTTGAATGCTCCACAGGGACAGGAACCTCACGAGCCCGCAGCTTGAAGAATTGTCCATAGACTTGGCCTCTTCATCCAGAGTTTTGTCAACCTCCTGGGTGTTTTTTTACTTCTGGTAACATCTGAAAACAAATAATTATTGGCTGAAAAAAAGTATGCTGCCACTTCAGTGAAAAGCTGTGGTCTGGAGCACTGTGATCAGCTGATGATTTAAAAATCTCACTCAGATCAGGGGAAAAACAGAAATGTGCTGAAATGGCAGCAATTTATGCTGTGTTTTGCTTGTCTCCGCTGGAACGAGATCATGTTTCTGCTGCCTGTGGTGCAAAACGGCTAAAGGTTAGGATCCAAATGGGAAAAGGTCTTCATGGGGTTTCATGCTTCTTCATGCCCTATCCAAGGGAGTGTTTTGTTGGTTCAGAGTAAATTAACAGAAGAAAGCTGTCTTAAAAAAAACAAAGAATAAAAAAATACTCCTATTTCATAATGTTTCATCTATCATGGCTTGGAGAGTACTTTCTGAAGGCGGCAATGAAGGCAGCAGCCCTGGCTGAGAGAGAGGCAAAAGCAGAAATCGTTTCTAGCTGATCCAATTATTTGATGTCTCCTGAGTTTTCCATGCACTTTGCATCAGAAGTTATTACTTAATAAAAACCTCTATGTGAAGAGGCAACCTGCAGTCCTGGACTGCAGTTTTATATACGTCAGTTTACTTCTACACATAATATTTTGGAGGCAGAGATGTCCAGACTCCTGAACTCTCCCTCCATGAGAGTGTTGAACAAATAAAAGCTCTCCTGAGATCAGCAGGTTTTCTTGAGAATTGATTGTTCTCTAGATTAATAGAAATCTTTAAGGTTGTGGCAGAATCTGCCCCTTCTGCCTGCATGGAGGCTTTGGTTTAATTATTTTCCTTGTGTTAATTATTTTAATGACTTAATTGTTTATTGTAGTTCACTAGTTGGCTATGCTATGGCCAATGCTAGTACTTTATTTAAGTGTGAGGGAATTGTTTTCTTAGATGCTTCCTATTCTTTTCTTGTAGAAATCAGTCTAATTGCTGCAATGTTTTTCTTCTCTGAGTTATCAGATTGGCAGTTCAAACTTCCCAGGAGTCTCGGAAAAGCAAATTTAATTTCGAGCTAGTTTTTTTTTTCCCTGCAGTCTCTATAAGACAGTTATCTAGCTGGCCATCTGAGACCTGGTTTTGATAATCACATTTATAAGAAGGCCTGTTTAAAAAAAAAAAAAAAAAAAAAGTGAGCGGCCCAATGTGGACTTTTGTACGTCCTGAAAATGTCTCAGCTTTTCCTCTTTGTAGAAGGGAAACAGGAGTTTAGATGCTAAAATAAATTTCCAAACTAGTTACTCACAGCTTCAGTCAAACTATACATTTTGCTCAGTGTTTGGGTGACAGCATCCTGTCTGTTCGCAAGCTGCTTCTCCATCGTAAATATTTTAAGCACAAAGCTAAGCTTGTTTAATGGATATTCGTACTCATCATTGATACAGGCTGTCATAAGCAGAAGTGCACAGATTGTATTGTTTTAAAAAGTGTTAGTACTGTTTCTAGCATTGCCTTCTCAATTTGGGATGAAGGAGTACAAAAGTATTTATTTTTCACCACTGACACTGTATGTTCACTTTTGCATGTCATTTACCTTTTGAGCAAAAATGAGACCAATCTATTCCTCTTTCATGTCTAAAAGATTTCTCTCCAGTTTCTGTGATCACACTTGTTGCCTTCAGAGGCTAGGGAAAGCTCTGTGCAGAGCTACAGCATCTTGCCTTCAAAGGCTTTGGGAGAATACTTGTGTTTAGTTGCATCGAAATAAAATAGTGCAGACTAATGTAGGATGTATTTGGCAACATAAGGGAAAGCTTAGAAGAAAATGGTGAAACAAATTCAAGGTTTGCATTGTAGCTCTGTAACTGTCTGCTTTCTCGAGCCAATAGCTTACATTTCCCAGATGCAAGACCTTGTTTACTTTGGGTTTTTTGTTTTAATTTTGGTTTTGAATTTTAAAAAGCTTTTATTTTTCTAAAAACTACACTTCAATCCTGTTAATAACATTAAGCGAAAGTTGCTGTACAATAGACTTGAATAATCTTTTATGACTTCTGGGTGATATTAACTGAAGTACAAATGTTGGGTTTACTTTACCCTCAAGAAGTGAGTTAATACATTTTAAATGGGCTTCCTGTGCTTAGCACTGCAAGGCATTTTCTTCCCTGTCTTTGTTTTAGAGCTGAAACCCTTGAAAGCAAGGGCTGACTGTTCTATGCCCCGTACCGCCTCGCTTGTCCTTTGTTAGCAATCAGTAATGGTAGTGATCATCTTTTTTTCTCGTCTTTTGACAATCATCTTTTTTTCTCGTCTTTTGACGAGCACTTGAGCTGCGGGATTGCCACAGTGCCCTGAGAGAGCAAAGCTGACTTTTTGAATGACTGTTTACCCAAACAAATAAGTAGCTCCTATATGCCTAAGATTCTTCAGTGCTGAGGAACGTGGCAGACGGCTGTGGAAGTGGGGGCTTGCTCTGTGCTGTGCGCAGTGCACAGGGCTGAGGAGCGGCTCTAAGACGTGGCACTCGGAGGAGCTGAGCAGAGCCACCCCACCTAGGGTGCTGCAGGCTTTTAGATTGGCTGAAGGTGTGTACAATGATTTACTAACCTTATCTAGCTCTGAACTCTCTGGGTGTATACATGTACGGTATCTAAAAAGTCAAGAAGAGAAAAATCAATCATTGTGTGATAGATGGGATTTTTTTTTTTTTTTACTGGAGTTCTCCCCTCCTGTAAACCCTATGGCTGTGATGTGATATGCTAAAAATGCCCAGAAACCTTCTTGTCAGGGTTTCCAGAGGCAACATCACCACCAGCTTTACCCTTTAGGACTTACTTTTCTAAAAGATCTCTAAGACGTAGATTTTCTGGGAGGAGCAGAATCAGCAAGGTTTCCTCCAAACAGGCTGATGAGTTTGAGTTTCCTGGTAACTGACTTGGTGAAGTGATTCCTACATTCAATCAGAGGCAAAGTCCCAGCCCCAAAAGCCAACAGGCTGAAGGGAAGAGTTTGGTATTTATGACCATTATATGTTTAAACTGTCTTCTTTCTGTCATGTTTCTGGGAAAAACATGTATGTCTCACTTGTCTTTGTTGTCTGTTTTTCCAACACTATCTTCAAGTACACACCCTTTCTCTTTGCGTTTTATATATTTATATATACATATATATATATATTAAAAAATATGTATGTATATGTATAGACACATATATAACACATATATATGCAGAGATTTATTTTTACAGCATATATAATATGTGCAGTCATATTATATACAATATCTGTAAAAGGAAATCCTGTTTCAGTGTTATTTCCCAGCTGGAGAGTTTGGCAATGAATTTGCATGTGTGTGTCTGCTCCGTCTTCCCCCAAGACTGGGAATGGCAACTCACAGCGGATCTCGTGCATCCCAGAAGAGATCTTGGATGCACCAAGTTTTAGGCCATGTTGCCGAAGATGACTGAAGACTCTCTATTCCCTGCTAAACGTTCTACTTTATCTCTTTTACGTGCTTTGTTTCTGTTTTTGCGTTGTGCTTTCCACTTCATGGACACTAATGGACAAAGGAGAGCCTTTCCTTACTTGTTCAGCTGGAGCACACTGGAATCAATACGAACTTCTGCTGCTACTGCTGTTGGGAAGCTTGGGGGAGCCGCTAGAGCTGTAATCAACCGTCAGGACACTTCATTTTTCTTTATGCTTTAAACCTTCTAAGAACTCCAAATGTGACTAATAAGCAGTAGCCAGCCAAGTTTTGCCCTCTCTCGTACTAGGCCTGTGACTCCAGTTTTGCTCTGGAAAGTCTCAAAGTATTTATTAGTGTCAATGGAAGGAAGATCTTCAATTTCCTTCACGTTGCAGTGAATACAGTAATCCAGAAAGCATTCATGAATACTTAGAAGGGCAACCCAGAGGAATAAATTCCTTTTCTCAGTGAAGAACTAATTGCAAAACTGCTGTAAGTGGTTCATCAGCCATTTGGGGAATAATTGCATTTCTCACAGTGATACAGCCTATAATAAAGATGATGATGCTCGTGCTCCAAAGCACAAACTGATTTACCATCCAAGGTCAGGAAGAATTTTTTCCTGACCACGTGTATTACAGAGCATTTCTCCTTTTTGTTGGCATATCAAGCATTGCCCACTGTGTGATTAGACAGTCACATGGGGTAAAATTCGGATCTGCTCTCCTATGTCTGATGCTGAATAGCTGGGCCACTGTTCTGCAGAGAGACAATATCAGACTGAACATACCCTAATCAGAAGAATACAGAACTTGACGAGTCGATGCACTGCTCTGGTATGGGTACTTCCATGGCCAGCACTCTCATCATTTGTGATTCTGTTCTCACTAACCCCTCTCATCCACAAGAAGAGCGTTGAGTGTTAGTCAGTATTTTTAAAGGCTTACATTTCTTCCAGGCTCTGGGGCAAGAGTGTGAAAGAGAGAGAGAAGCATTTTCTCACACAAGGATCTAACCTAACCTGCATGGGTTGGTTTCCAGTTCCTTCCTTAGTCTTGTTCCTTGTTTCTTGAGTTGAACATCTCTGAAATCTTTTCATTCTAAATGACTTCTCTTCTGATTTCAAAGCTCAGCAAGTGGGATTAAGATTCAAGCTGGAGAGATGCTAAGAAAAGAGCAAGAGCTTTTCCAGCGAGAGCTGGATTTTACAATATGTAAATACAAACTGGCTACCTGTGGCCCTCTTCAGAGCATCCACGCTTCCCCGCTTTTGTCCCCAAGAGGACAGGTGATGGAAGTGCTACTGAACTACCCGTTTGCTACCCATGCTGGTGCTAATTAGCAAGTTGGAAAACATCGGAGGGTTAAGGGTCAAACTCTTCCCATACCAACTTCTCTTTTTACCTCTGCAAATGCAGAAAGATTCTTAAGGGCTGCTCAAATGGGAAACTAAGAATAGATTCTTCCACCGTGAGGGAATACATGGCTGGAAAAGATATCCAGCTTCTTCCAGCCCCATCACAAGCAAAAGAGCGCATAGCGGGGACAGGTCTGGAGAAAATGGCACTGCACTCGGGCATTCTTTGCCAAGGAAGAGGCTCCTATGGCCCACCCTGAGATCTTTAAGGGTATAAGGTTGAGGGTCTTTGAACCGTCTTTGAACCGACTTCTTTTCTCCTTTGCACTTAGCTTCACTGAGGTGAGGTTTCTGCCCTGGGTCTTCCTCTGAACCATGGTTAGGAAGAAACTAGTAAGGAGCTCTGGCCCTAGGCAAGAGATAGAGCTCTATTTCAGGATCGTTTCCCTCACTTATGAGAAGCTCACATTCTTCCTTGTAGACTCATAGCTGATGGAAGCTGAGAGACAGCCACAAGTTTGCATATTGGATCCATCAGGCAGAGACAGTGGACAAGGAAGAGTCATAACAGATGTCAAAGATACGGAGTGCTGTGTAGTGGAAAAGTCTCTGCTGAGGTTGTCCTGATATCTCCAGAGCGGTGTTCAGCCATCAAGTGGCAGAAAAACAATGTCTTCTTCATACAGTGGGTCGGGTCTCTTGCCTTCATTCCTCCAGCAGCAGCAGTGGCAGGAGGTTTTAAAATAAGACCTTAACAACTCCCACGTTCCCCCCAAACAACTGATACTCCCTTCTAAACAAGCAAGGAAACAAGTTCTCCTGTTGGTGGAGTTCTCTGCCCAGAGGCCTAATGGAAGCCCTTGATTTCTTGCAGACATTGATGAGTGCCACGCAAGCCCCTGTCTGAATGGAGCTACCTGCGTTGATGGCATCGACTCTTTCAAATGCTTATGCCTTCCCAGCTACGGAGGGGACCTGTGTGAGATCGGTACGGCCTCCTTGGCTTCAGCTAATCTTACTAACAGCTGCACTACCTTGTTCCCACCCTACACTCCAAAAAACTGATCCCAAATGCTCCCATCAGCCATGCCCTCATCTCAGTAAGCTAACCTCTAACAGCAGATTTAAATACATCACAGGGAAAAGCTTTGAGCCTTTTGCTTATATATGTTGTTTATTTTGTTCATCACAGCACCATATACTATAAGATTCCTAAGCAAGAGCGTCTGCTGTCTTCTTCAGCTTCTTCTTCTTTGTAAGTTTCTCTAGTGAAGCTCCATGCAGAATGCAGTGATGTTGATCACAGAATAGTGTTGATCATCTCTTCGGGTAAAGGGTCATTCTGTTCATCTGTAGCAGTAGCGAAATATCTAAGTACATCTTAACCGCAGGCAAACTTTCTCTGCTAGACTGGAATTTTATGGAAAGATGCTTGAACTGAGCCATGTAAAATGATTGTGTTTCACTCTGTGAAGATGCAGCTGAGAGAAGCCTCATTCACTCCAGGGATCCCCACCAATTTGACTCAGCATGACATTTTTGTCATCTCTTAAACATGGCTTCCTGTGGCAAAATCAGCAGGGAATATCTATCTTTGAGGACATAAGAAGTGACCTATTTTTCCACCAAGATGAGGTGCTTTGACCTGTACTAATACTTCTTTTTGTTTCTACAAGGAAAGAAAAAAAGGATTTTTTTTCCTTAAAGCTTATGAAAGCCCAAACTTCTATCAGCTTAGCAATGAGGGTAAGTCCTCCTGCCTTGCTCAAACAGAAGAGGAATAAGGTTACAATTTCTTCTTTACCTTGACCTTAGTAACGGTAATATATGTTGGCTTGTCCCCTCTCCTTTCTTTGTATCTCTCTTTCTGCTTTCAATATGAACATGCAGCATAGACCACAAGAAAAGGGCTGTGGATTGTTGGACTATATAAGCAGGAATTGTTCTGTCTTCACTCCTCTTTGCTAATGCAACCTAATCAGCTCCTGATTTCCCCATCCATGCCACCTGTTGCTCTGCCAGAAGATCCCTGTAATAGGACAAGAGATTTTCTACCCTGTGGCTGCTTATGACCTTGTTTGGTCCAAGTCAAACTTAATTTCCTCTTTTCTATTGTTCATAGGCTCATGACAACTAGAATCCATAGCCTAGGAGATACGAGAGAAAGCCAGTACCCTGAATTCAGTGGTGAATGTAAATCTTCATTATTCCCATGAGGTAGATTTTGCTTTCTCTAACATCTATTTCTCTCCAAGGACAGCAGGGACACTGCAGGTGGACTCCACTGTTTGTGCATACAGTTAGTCCTTCTTGTCACCACAGTAGTGTTACTGCCAGGGACAGGCTTTCCATGATTCTTTTCAGAAATGATCCCTGTCATATTTCCCCATAAGTAA